ATTCCCAAAAATGTAATAAGACTTTATCAGTTTAGTTCTACTTATACATTTAAGATAAATAAAATAAATAGGTATTTAGTCATTAAAAAGCTAAATATCAAACAACTGCTAAAAAGCACTTTAACCTATGATGCAGAGTATTTAACAATAATTTTCTAAACATTTTAATATAATTATAGGGAAAAATGAAGTACAAATGTAAAAAAAGTAAAATAAAAATTCAAAAATATATTATTTTACATAATATTTAAAATTATAAGATTAACCTTTAAGGTTTTGGATTAAAATATTAAATTTAATTCAACTTAAATCATATTATCATATTGAACTACAATATTATATATGAAATAGTAATAGCCTTATTTATAATACAATTTGAAAATAAGATAAGACAAGCCTAGGTTAGTATTTCAATTTGTTGTGAAAAAATTGTTTCAATTAAATATATATTAAACCACTGTACATAATATAACATTTTCTAAAACAATTGTAATAATGTTTTTTTTGTTTATTTGGCATTCGTATAGCAGGTGATCTACAATTATTATTACCTATTATTATATTATATTATATTATACTATTATTATATGCACATTATCACAGAACTCAGTGGGATAGTATTGCGATAACAATTAATGGCATTTACAATATAACTACGAGTCATTAGCAATGTTGCTGGATAGGTTAGTTACAAATTGTTCGTTGGTCGGAGTTTGTCTATAATACGTGCGTCTGAATTTTATAAAATAATTGTTGATGAAAAATGGCACTACATGGCACTACATCGGAACTTTAACATCGTCATCTGATTGAAGCATGGTGGATATCAGTTAATCCTCAAAATACTTTTTTAACATTTTTAAATGATACTAAAAACTTTTACTGTAATTGAAATTATAATTATATTTGGCTAATTATTATTTAAATTTATATTTAACAAATATTTGTTTGATATGACATACTCGCTGAAAATAATATGTTTTTATACTATTAAAACATACATCACTCATCCTGAATTCACAGATCATCCATTCCCCGGTAGATCACCCGCTACACAAATGCCATTTATTTTTATAATAAAAAAAGATTATCATGTTAGACTTATTGAACAAACTAATAAAATATAATTAGAAATTTCATATTTTAAAAGAAAATAATTTAAAAGAAAAATCAAGAACAAAATGAGTTAATGACCTGTAAATTGCAGCATATTTTAAGGCTTTCTTATTAAAATTAACTATAATATATAGTTATAAAGTTATAACATTTTATTTAAACATTATTATAGCAATATTTTAAACTACTTTGTGTATATTAGATAGATATTAAAAGTAACATCAGAATTTAAAAATGTATCAATGATAAATAATATAACCAACTAAAAAAAAGGAAATTTATATCAAGTTATCATTAATCACAAAAAATATTTCAAAATATTGAAGCAGTAATAAAAATTAAATGTAAATATGTGAATGTAAAAAATTTGGTCTTCATATGGAATATTTGTTAATGATAAATAAACTAAATACAAAAAATTACCTACATCAAGAAGCAACAAGAAATTTTTTTCTTAAGACAAACTAATGCATGCTTCTTTTTACAAACACATTTAAAATATTCTATATTTGTTATTTTATGGTGTACTCATTGTATTCAGTTTAAATTAAATTAAAAAAAAAATTTGTTATTTTGGCATGTAACCAATTTTATTCAATATTACCATACATTATAAACTCAATTTCTAGAGTAATAAAATTTAAAGTTTCAATAAACACAAAATTATTTTTAAACTATATTAAAATAAAGTTGTTTGACTTTAAGCCTAAAAATGGTTTTGATTTTTATTTTTAAATGATCAACACTTAAATTAACTTACAAATAAATTATATAATATATCTTGTAATATATTGACATCAAGGCTAATGGGAAGATGTTAGAGATACACATCAATGCATCAAAATTGATTTAACAATTTACACTATATTTATAAAACAGTTGGCACATAGTAAATTTTGTAATTTTATTTTACTTATTTAATCTAAATACAATTAAGTAAACTTTAATTTTTTTTTTTTTTTTAATCTAGAGAATTGTACAATCTGTAAAGTAAGATTTACAATAAGCACAAGTGAAGAGAGAATTAATACAGAAAAGACAAAATAATGGATAATGTAACAAAAAATAAGTCAAGTTACATCACAATTATTTACATCAGTTCAGGTAAAGGGAACTTGATTGAAGAGGCCATCCATTAATGGAACTTCTTGACATAAGGGGGTGAGGTTAGTCTAAAAGTAGATTATGACACCATGTTCGTTTTAGAATCCTTCTGGGGTCACTAGGAATGGTGGGGACAGATAGATCCGAAATTAAGGGGTTGCGATTATTGTGGAGATTGGAGTGCATACGTCTGTAGAAAGTCTTGTCAACGTTTTTTACCGTTTGGATGGATAGATCTTTGTGGAGAGTATCATTGGAGACATAGAATGGAGCTTTAGTTATTTGTCGTAGGCATTTGAATTGGAAGGATTGGATTTTAGTAATTTTGAAGGGTTCGACGGCATCCCATAAGTGGATGCCATAAGTCCATATTGGTTTAGGAGTAATTTTTATAAGTTTATTCTTGAGGTTTATATGATGTTTAGATGTCAAAAGAAAACGCAACTAACTGACAGGACCGATTATTTAGAGCAAGCTGTTTGGTGTGAATAGGCATAACCCAGATTAGCCGGTGATCTAGATAAAGACCTAAGTAGCGAACGGTTTGATCAGATGGGAGTGGAAGGTGATTAAGATACATAGGAGGACAGACAGCTTGTCGGAGCGTGAACGTGCAGTAAACGGATTTGGATTCAGTAACTTTTATCCCCCAGTCTTTATACCATGTTGATAAAAGGTTTAAGTGGTTTTGAATGAGGTTGAGGCCATTTCAGAGTTTGAGTGGAGAGCCAAGATTGCCTTGTCGTCAGCAAAGTCCCCGGTAATTGTATTGGTAGTAATAGGCTGATCAGAGGTGAATAGGTTAAACAGTAGTGGAGCAGCAATCGCTCCTTGAGGGATACCGGCACATATCAGATATATTTTGGAAATGGCAGATCCTGTACGGACAGAGAAGTGTCTGTTTTGGAAGTAAGATTTAAACAGTAGATATTAGTAAGGGGGAAAAATAGTTTTAAGCTTAAGGAGGAGGCCTTTATGCCAGACTGTGTCAAAAACTTTAATTTAAAAATTTATTTATTAATTTTTTTTTTTTTTGTAAAATAATACAATTATTATCAGATACAATAATATATAAAATGAATAACAAAAAATTACATTTTTGTACGCATATTGGTTTAAAAAGGTATTAAAGGGTAAAATTAAATTGCAGTAACTATTCAAAAAATACAAGTATAAAATAATATTAATTAATTTCCTAATTTTTAGTAAATTATGAGATTTAATACAAATAATCATTCAAGAACTTGAATGGTTTTTATGGTCAAGTATTAATATATACAGAAAATTTTAATTTATTTTTAAATGAATGATAAATACCCAATTAGTTGTTGTTAATAGAATGTGGTTAGCAAAATATAAGTATGTATAGTTAATAATATTCTAAAAAAACTTTATTTAAGTTAGCCATATTGTAGAAATTATTTCAATAATATGATGAAATATTGGGATAATTTCTTGCAGTATATGAAACTCAAAAATGAAAACTATCAATAGCACTAAAATATACGAATTCTTAAACATTTAATGTATAGAAATAAGAGAGAGTAATTGAAAACTTCTAATATTTAAATTATAAGTAATATACACAATTGTAGGATACAAATTTGTTACACTGTGTATTAAATTGGCACTGTATTCAATTGTTTTTGAATTTTAATTAAAGATATGATCTTAAGGTCATTGACTTCTTAGTAGTAGTTAATATAATATTCCTAAAGAATAATTTAATGTTGAGAATATAATAAACCTTTATAAAAATAAGAATAACATTATTGATTTTAATTAATTTAAAAATTCTTAATTTAACACTTCCTTCTATTAATATAAATAAAAACAATTTTTATTTGTAAATAATTTATTCAAAAACTCAAAATATTACTTTAAATATTTATAATTTCTCTACAATCAGATCAATGCAAGAAATATTAAGAAATATACTGTATATTGTATACAAGAACAAAGAAGCTGTAACTCTTTATTATCACTGTAAGAGATCTCAGGTCTTATATAATAATAGATGCCAGTGGGTAAGACAGCAGGAGGTACCTAAAGCTGCAAGTATCAACAATGGAAAACTTGTGTGAAAAACAGCAATTAAAAAGATACTGAAAGAATGCCAATTGATGATGTATTACACGATCATCTATGATAGATCAAGGACAATATTTGTAACTAAACTATAACTATGACGTCATCAAAAATAGTACGAAAACATAAAACTCTCTAAAATCGTAAATTATCGGACAGTAGTGGAATTTTCTTTCATATCTACGTTCTTACATTCAGAGCGCATCCAACGATGTAGCGATTAAAGATAACTTAATCTGACGAAGATATATAAAAGATATGCAAAAAAAATTAAGCATACACACCTAATGATTATTTTATACACACAAAATGTATACCTGAACACATAACTAACAAACACGCTTATTAAAACGGAAATGAATACCTAATTAACTGTAGTAAAAAAACTCTGATAAAGATAAAATATTTCAATGATTCAATTACAATATCTTTAAAATACAGATAAACGTTAATCACAAGTGTAAACGTTATAGATCCTTCACGAACAACCCAACAGTCCAGTTTTAGATTTGTAGCGATTGTAAGTTGCGTTTAACATTATGTTCCAGTCATCTACCAATAGCCTTAATGTCAATATATATAAACGATTAACATTATAAAATAAGGTAAAATTACGGTTAATAAATTATTAGCAGAAGTTTTGGTAACAGTTGGAACATTGATAATATCGTGTAACGTAGAAAAAAACTCACAAATGCGACGGTACGGAAGATTTCGGTTCAGCCTCGAAGACGGTCGTTAACGGTGTGTAATGGCACAAATCGTAATCCGTACACACGCTCACAGGAACATATTCATTTCAGTATTATTCGACTGGGTAAAATATTGGATTAAGATGAAATGTACGATTACGATAATTTTTGATTGGAACGTGTACAATGGACGTGCCGACGTCAACGGAACGACGAATAGATAACGAAACAATTGTGAGGACGGACGACCGCGGACATGGTAAAGGAATAATAATGTGAATAATAATAATAATAATAATCGATTGGAACACACGCAGATAACGACGCGCTGTTGGCCGGTAGACGGGGAAAATGTTATGATCAGTTGTTAGGGTACACTTAGTAGCGGGCCGCGGTGGGAGTCGTTGTGGCAGTGATGTCAGTCGAGGAAGTGAAATCCGCACACGGCGCACGTATTACGACATACGGTACATCCGCCGTCGACCGTATCGATTCTTTACAGTGTCGCCGCGTCTACGACGATAATACATTCAACCGGGGTTAAGGACCGCGTGTAGACAAAATAATATCACAGATTCTATTAAGTTTCATATAATATGTGATGATATTAATAATTTATTTCGCATAAATGTATGATTAAAAATAATATGTACGGTACACCATGACAAAACGGATCTATTTTGTCATGATATACATTATGTATTTAGCGATTCCGGTAACCGGTACGCAGGACCGTCCCGAAGGGGGATCTTGGGGGGTGTCTCAGCCATCCAACAAAAACACCAGTTGGCAGTCGGACTTGTTTCATTATAGCCTAGAAGGACCTAATTTTACTTACGGAAAACAAATATAACATATTTCGTAATACAGTGTATACACGAATAAAATTTTTATAAATACTTATTATACAATATAAAATCTATATATATAAAAATCTCGTGTCACAGTGTTTGTGACCATACTCCTTCGAAACGGCTTGACCGATTTTAATGAAATTTTGTATATACATTTGGTAGGTCTGCGAATAGGATCTTATCTATTTTTTAAACCCCTAAATGCTTAACACATCGTAGTTTAATTTAATAATTTTTGACCCAGTCGATTACTGCGCAATTGAAAATGAATTATTAAATGATATTATTAAAAACAATTAAAAAACTATTAATTTTATTTTTGGTATTAAATTACGGGTATTGCATAAATATTAAACAACAAGATCACGCAACAGGTGCAAAAACAAACAAGAATATTAGTTCGAAGGAATATTATGCATATTGGTTGATGATTAGATGCGATCAGGACAACGTTAATCTACGATGTCATGAGCTTGGTCAACAATTTATGGTTGGCATGTATGTAAAGATAAAGAACAAACGATTACGACACTTGCGATTCAATCAAAAAAAGGTACACGTGAAAGATTCTCAAAAGAATTGTTAGATATCGGTGACGGGAAAGTTACTACAAATGAAACGGGATGCATACAATTACCAACTGATTTCTGCACAACCATTGAATCGCAAGATGTTCTCATTGATCAAATATTTCCCAATGTACATAGAAAAAACACAAATCATGAGTGGCTGACAGAAAGAGCAATTTTAGCAGCAAAAAATGTGAACATCAACGAATAAAATCTCAAGATACAACATTTGTTACCAGGAGACTTGGTGTCATACAAATCTATTGATACAGTTTGCAATGCTATTGAGGCTGTAAATTATCCAATAAAGTTTTTAAAGTCATTGAATTTACCAGGCATGCCATCGCATAATTTACAATTTAAAATTGGATCTCCGGTTATTTTGATTCGTAATTTGAACCCACCATAGTTGTGCAACGGCACGCGATTAGTCATTAAAAAATTAGTGAAAAATATTATTGAAGCCATTATTTTAAATGGCAAATTCTGAGTTGAAAATATATTACTACCGCGAATCCCTATTATACCCACAAATGTGCCAATATAATTTAAACGCCTTTAATTTCCAATTAGATTGGCATTTGCAATCAATAGGTCTCAATGCCAAACGATGTCTGTCTGTAGTTTAGATTTGAACACCTCATGTTTTTCACACGGACAATTATACGTAGCGAGCTCTCGAATCATCCAGTTTGTTAGTGTTGGCGAAAGATGGGATAGCAAAAAATATTGTACACTCTGTTGCATTAAGAGATTGATATTGTTTTTTACTTATATTGTCATAATTAGCAATATATATAATTTTAAAGGATGAATTTTGATAAATTATTAAAAAAATAAATGTTTGATGTTTTTTCATTTTTATATTTCGTCACCGTTCACAGCACTCCATACCTCTTCCACTTATAAACCACATCCTTACACACTTTTATTAAATTAGTTATATTTTTCTAGCAAAATATTCTATAGAAATAATTTATATGACAAAACAACGTTTGTCGGGTCAGCTAGTATTATATATATATATATATATATATCAGTGGTTCTCAATCTTTTTAGGACCGCGACCCAAATTTTCTTCCAAATTTTCGCGACCCTATTGTCTTACATTTACAAAATCAATAAAAATAATTTCAAAAAACAAATTTTTTTCTCTTTTCTTACTTATTTAATACTTTATAATAATAATAATAAAAATAATAAAGTTTTTTTTATTATTATTATTAATATTTTTATTATTTTTATTATTATTAATATTATACTCCGATTTCTAAAGCGTTAAGTCTCGATTATGACGCAACTAGAGCCCAAATATTAGAGCCGCTGAAATTGTTGCATAATATTTCACTGTAATTATTATAGATTTACTTAAAATAAAACCAGGTGTGTTTAATTTGAACTCAGGAGTGATAAAGACCCTCTTACGCACCCCCCCCCCCCCTAATCGTACCTATGAGTCGCGGCAAAGTAAATTAAATTCCCCGTTATACCGAAACCCAATTGATAATAACAATTTAATTTATTCTTTGATATTATTCCAGAATGAAAAACAATTCCGAAATAACAATCTTCTCATATAGTCATATAGCCATATAGTCCAGACGGAATTCATAATTTAGTATACTGCTAATATTATAATTGGGTACCTACTTAATTCCGAATTAATAATACACGACCATGACACTAATATTGTATTATTACAAAATATATGGTATAATATTATTATGTATTTATTAAAAATATTATGTATTATGTATTTAATATCGGATTTATTAAATATTGCTAGCGAAACATAGGTCCATACACTACGGTTTTAACGTGTGTGTACTACGGTCTACAAAACAAAAATTAAATTATAAGTCAACTACTAGGAAATATGAGTATTATTGAATTTTTTAAAATATAATTATATATATTATGTATGTAATATATTCCTTTTTCTAAGACAGTAGCGAGACTAAATTTTCATTTAAAGCAGTAAAATTAAGTGTGCAGTTCGAAATTGTACAAATAATAGGGCCTGCATATGTCCGTATATTCTTAGGTCGCGAGAAACAACAGTCACTGGTCAAACAGTTGATTATCAGGAATTTACTACGAGTAATAATAAAAATGAATTAATTGGATTTTGTCATGTTTAATCCTCGTCACCAATTTTGACATTCTCTCCCCATCGTTATAAACGAATTTTTTATTGGTTACTTATTCTTGCAAGTCTCCAAGGGCATATTGATAACGTGTGGTAATCAGACGGTCGTCATATTTTGATAAGAAAAATATTTTTTCGTCCTCGTTTTTCTCCGTATTTCGTTTCCGATAGAATATGTATTAACTGTAGAAATTAGTGTTGGTCTTCTCATTAAATAAATTCGGATATAACTATCAAAATGGGTGTTTGGAGCTCACTGAAAATTGGAACCGCGATCACCAAATGTGTGGGTTCGAAAAATACTGAAGGACTCAAAACATTGGGTAAAAACTACAACTTTGCCTTAAATTTTCAATTTTATATTAAACAATACGATAATAGTTCATAAAATTAATGCTTAAGTATTTTATTCCAATTATTATTTTTCAATTGATCTTGTATAAAAGGTTCATGTTATTTGTCATTCTAACCCTTTAAACCCTTCATTAAATATAATATGCATTTATGCATTTTATTAAAAAATACATTTAAAAACAAAAAATTACCTACAAAAATGGTTTATTTAAATTTTATATTGCTTATAAACCCTTCATTAAATATAATATGCATTTATGCATTTTATTAAAAAATACATTTAAAAACAAAAAATTACCTACAAAAATGGTTTATTTAAATTTTATATTGCTTTTTATTACTATATTATATGTAGTATGTATGTTATGTATGTTTGCATTTAATGTCCAAGATACAAATTTATAACTATTTTATATTTTCAAAAACTCATTTCATCAAAATTGTATAATAATGAATAAGTGATGATATTTTTTTTAGTTACTTAATATTTAAAATATATTGGTTTTTATTTATTTCGATTAATTATTCTTAAAGTATTTATAATTTTAAACTATAGGTGATAATCATTAAATACAATTTAAATCTTTATTTCATTTCTTAATGTTAAAATTAAAATATCTATTTAATAAGGCTTATTTTTTGATTACTTAATTGAAATATGCAAATATATCAAATTTTGAACCACAAACATTTTGTTATAATCATGATTATTAATATATAGTAAAAGTAAATGATATTTAGAAGTAGAGTACAGTTTTTGTAATAATAATTATAGTATATAACTTATCTATACAAAAAAATTCTATTTATAGAAACATTATAAAATATTTTTTGCACTAAAGACTATTTATTATATAGAATATTAAAAATTGTTTATCTGAAATTTTAGGTATTGTACCAGTCCGTAACATGAGTGGTCATAATATAATGTCCATTAAAGAGACTAAGTGGCAATCTAAAAAATTTAGGGATTTAATTCATTATTATGTCTTAGTTGGTGTAATACCTTTGACATTGCTCATTACTTATGTTAATGTGTTTATTGGACCAGCAAAATTAGCACCGATACCTGATGGATACAGACCTAAACATTGGGAATATTATAAAGTCAGTTATTTTTTTATGTTAATAATTAGATCATATTATTGTAGATTTACTAGTGCTTGAGATTGAAATTGTTTTTCAACCATTACAATATTAACAATTAAAAACATTAAATTTGGTATAAACAGTATATGACATATTAGTTCTCATAATTTTGTGTATTATTCATTTTTTAGTTAAGATTTACCAAATTTATTATTTATATTTAGAGCATGTAAATCAATACAACATTGAATTAAAATTTCTGTTGTGCATTTCATAAATCTCTGAAAAAAAAACTCTAAATTTACCATAATGTTTTTACAGAAGGCATTATTTTTTACTTATTTAGATTTCATCTATAATATCCTTAATTCATTAACTAATAATGATTGTACAATAGTGTTATTTTTTGATAACTTATCACTAATTACAATATAAAATAGTTATAAACCCTTCTATCCATAATATTGATAAAATATTGGTATAATATAAATATAAACCAATAAAAATAGTTCTAAACCTTAAATGCCATATATGTCACTAAATAAATTTGAAAATGATCAAATCATAATTTAATATTTAGTAATGTTTGCAGTATAAAACCATAGGAAAATTATCTTATATAATTAATTAAAATTATGTCTAATTGTATTTTTTATAACTTAACATTCAAATTTATGTCATCTAATGCATCTTTAACTACAAATATTTAAAAAGAAAATTGATTTACCATATATCTGTTGTCTTTGACATACATAGATGGAAGTTTATAGTTTTATTAATTTAATGCAACTAATCACTCATAATTTTCCTATAATAGCTACCATAATATTTAATAACTTAAAAAGCAATATCCCAACAAATTTCAAGCACGATGTATTAATAATTTGCTTAAAATATATTTATAAACACAACCAAATATCCTTAACCTATTATCAACTACGTAAATCTATGAAATTTTTAAATAAATATCCTAGTTTACATTAAATTGTTTGTGTAGTCCTTAAAAGTATATTATTTTTAGCATCCAATAACTCGATGGATGGCACGTTATATTTACCCTAGTCCTCAACAACAGTATGAAAAGTATCTGCATCAATTATATGAAGAAGATGAAAAATTTAAAGTCAGGTAAAAATAAAAATAGTATATATCTTACTAAATCTTCATAAGAAAGTATAAAATACCAAAATTTTATTATTATATTATTTTGGTTAAATGTAATTATAACTATTTAAATTTTATTAGTATCAAAATGTATGTACAAAATAATATTATAATTATATTTTAGTATTAACTGTTTTACATGTTTATTATAATTGGGCACAAATTTATACAAATGCCTAAGGAGACTACAACTCTCCAGAAATATTTAAATATAATTTAAGTTTAAAAGAAAATATCACTACCATTTTGCCCCTTTAAGGTTATCTACTCTTTTAAATGTAATAAGTTTATTTGAAAAACTATTTAAGTTTTTGTATCTATTATACACTTATCATATAAAATGCATGTTCCATATTTTATTCTTTATGAAATTTAATAGGATATCTAATCATTCACCATTCTTCTCCCTCATCAGATAAATTGAATATTAATTATTTTGTACTATTTATTAATTAACTTCATATTTATTTCTAGTAAATAGGTAATCATTAGGGCAGAGGATTTATAATTTATAGCATTTGTATATTTTTTTAGCACAGTTACAAAAAAAGCAGAGTACAAAACAAATACATTTTATGTTTTCACACAGCTAGTTTTGAAATTTTATTTTGCATATAAGTGCATATTTTGAGTTTTTTTAGTTTTTAGGGCATATTTCTTCCATTTTGTACTTTTAGATGCAACCAAAATAATGTTATTTAATAAATAATGGTATTAAATTCTAATGTAAAAAATTTTTTTTTAAAAAGCTTCTTCTCGTGTAGTAATATTTAAAAATACAGCACCTCGCACCTGATCTTTCACTTCCTCCAGAACCTATAACTAAATGGTTAAAATACATAAGCCCATAAATTCAAATAATTCAATACTTGTAACATGTAAGTTGTACTTTAACTTTAAATAAAACATATTCATTAAATTAATAAGTCCATACAGAAGAAAAAAATCCATATTTTTTTTCCAAAATATTAATTTTAAAATGCATATTTTATGTATAACTGCATACTTGGTGATTTTTTAGAGCTACAACTCCTCTGTCTTAGTAATCATAATTTTCAATAAATCAAAATAACTTCTAATCCAATGTTAGATTTAATTGTTAGTAGTTCATCTATCATTATTTTTATTTACACACAATTTCCTTACAAACATAATCTGATGAAATAATTTTATTTTACATTAATAATTTGGAACCTAACTACTTTTATTCTCAACTAATTTCACATAGCATTTGTGTATATTTTTTCATTGACCAATCAACTATATTATGATCTAAATATTTAGAAACTAATTTATTATTATAATACTAAACAAAATTATGATATTACTTTCTATTAATATTGTCGATTAAATTTAATGAATTAAACAAACGCAATCATTTTATAATAGAACAAACATATAATTATTTCACATTACATAAAGTTAGTATTCTCATTATGATTTGAAAATTAGTTATTATAAGTTATTTGAAAATTGTATATATATTAATATTATTTTTAATTTATAAATACATAACTAGTTGTATATATATTTAATTATGATAATGATTGCTTACTAAATTTATGATATATTTTCAGTGGCGCAACTATAGGTGGGGTTTGGAGGTTTTAATCCCCAAACCCCAAAAATTTTTTTGAGATTTTTACAAATTCTATGTAGGAAAAAAAATGGTTTATCTTAAACACGCGAAACGGCTGATTGATATGAAATGTGAATATTATTCGTATTATAATTGATAACATGACAATTTTTTGTACGTTCCGTTCAACTTTAAAACATTAATAACCTTAATACTACGATTTCTTGATAGTCAATTGTATAATATTTTTTTTGTGGTATCACAATATGAAATAGAAATTATACAGTTTAATTTATAATTTAAATATTTAACTTATAAACCTAACTTAACCTTACCTCCTTATCCTCACCAAATACCTGCAGAAAATGTTTATTTTTTCCAAATCCCCCCTCCGTAAACCAATCCTGGTTGCGCCACTGTAATTTTTAATAAAACCATAATTACTACTACAATCGGTGATTGTAAACTGTGCTCAAATAAAATTAAAAAATTCATTACTATATATATGTTAAATCAAATAAATAATAAAATTAATAAATATAACAACAAAAAGTTTGTTTCTATCAAAATATGGTACTCATGCTAAACATTTTACCATATTTTTATACCTTTTTGTCAATTGTTCACAATTAAAAAAACTCCCCTTTATTTAAAGTACTAAATTAGAAATATTTTTTTTATCAGAAATCTCTCTTGATTGTGATGATCAGAACACTTCTGGTCAAAATTATTTACACCAACAAATTACATGATTTACACTAACTACCAATACATAACTTGTTTCACAATTTCATAATAAATCAATGAGGTCCAGTAAAAACATTCTTTTTCAAATCTTTATATTTTAAAAATAACAGTATAAAAATAAAAATAATTATTTGGTAATTACAATTAATTTATATTAAAAATTACAATATTAGGAGTATGAAAATAAAAGTTGACAGGGTCCAGAGTTTGCCTTCCAAGGTCCTGAGTCGGACCACAGTCCACCAGTGGCCTACCCCTGATTTTAACTATTGTAATTGGAGCACATAAAAAATAGTTATTTGGGCACAGTTTACACATACCACTATAGTTTTTATGAAAATTATTTAAAATTTAAAAACATTAACAATTTTTTACTACCTTTCTATTTATTATGATGATAAATTTGTTAAAATTTTATTACTTATAGTTAACATATATATATTATTTTGCTTTATTAATTACATAATTTCTCTATTTTAGGATGTTAGCCAATAAAATCAATGATATGATGAAGGACCGATCAGACTACAAATCATTTTATTATCGACCAATTTCGGCCAATTATTATAGAATTAGCAAAGAAAAATTAGAGGAGCGTGATAAAACTGATGGTTACAATTAATAATACACTTTTTGTATAATTTAACTAGAAATTGTTTTTAGTATAGGCATCAAAACATTATAATATAAAAATTAAATTTAAATACATTGTACACAAAGTAGTTTTTTAAAGAATCAGATCAGTTTTTTTTTATATATGTATGACTAATTAATCCAAAAAGCAATAAATTAATTGTCTAACCAATTTAGGTCCTACTAACATACTATATTCTGTCATTAGTTCATCTTGATTTTCTTTGTAGTTAATAGTTTTGTATTTTGAATAAGTCATCAATGTACCACAATACAATACTGGAATCTACAAAACATGGAAATACCCAAAAATAAATTAAATTTACAGATAACATTTATTATTATAAGGTACAATATTAAATGTTCTCAAAATAGTATTTATTATGAAATGATTTACATTATCTATCCTCAAAGTATCTCCATCATCCTGCACATCATCAGACTCATTAAATATTGAATATTTTTCGTTATCAAGTTTTTGAATGCATCTTTCAACTGCATGCCATGTGTACCGAAGTGGACATAATAAATATGATGGTCGAAATTTGGCTTTGTAACGCATTTTTGCACATGTATGTATATAAAAGCCCATATAATAATACTTCATATCAGGTGACATACTATATAATTTCCTTACTAAACATATTTCCCTACAAAATTGCTAGGACATTAATTAATTTAGTTAAATAGCTATGGATAAATTTACCTTAATGAACTGTAAGTTCCTAACACCAAATGATGATAGTCAGGATCATAAAATAAATATACAGATGATATACACTTTGGTAAAATATCAATTACTCCAACAGCAATTAGTTTATCACCAAGCCAATATTGTTGATGAAATGAGCCATACCCTGGATGATCAGAATGATTTGCTTTTTCTGCCTATAAATAACATATCAAACAATAACTATTTATATTTTAAATATTAGTAAAATCGGTGTATCAATCAGACCGACAACATTAAAGAAATTATTCAAAACATTTCTTGCTGTTTTAGTCCAAGGAAATGAATGATACCTGCAAAGGTGAATTAACAAGAAATTCAAAGTATTGGCTCATATCACAGTCATCAGGTTGGTCGTTGTGTACAGCTATTTGATATTTGGCAAATAAGGATGCTCCAGCGGTGAATGTTTGAGAAAATTCTTCCGTGCCGGTCTGGACCAAGGACACCTTATTCACAAAATGTGTTTTATAAGTAAAGAATTAAAACTTACTCTAAAAGGTGAATTGACAAGGAATCGAATAAATTGTTCTCTTGTACAATTATCAACTGAATCACCATGTACAGCAGTTTGATACAATTTGTAAACTGCATATTCAGACTCAAAAGAATTGCTTGATGGTGTCAATTTTAAGAGTTTTATCTAAAGTTGAATTTTTTTTATTAATTATTTAGTGTTTTGTTAACAATTTTCTATATAATTTACTGAACTAATATACATCGCTATACTGTAACCATACTCATTCATGTCCCTTAATTATTTTACAAACCACATTATTTTTGGGAGCTAGAATCAAACATTCTAGCCATTGGCTAGTTTGAAATTTCCAATATTTCCAGGTAGACTTTTGAAATTTATTCATCAGTTCCAGATAAAGAAGTGGCAAAAGAAGCATGGATTATTATTGTAGAAATATTCTTCTATTGTGTCTCGTTTTCAATATTCACCAGATTCCCAGAAAATGTGGCTGAATTGCCGTCAGTCCCTAAAACTACTCGCATATTCGCTGAGTTTTAAAATTTGAACAGTTTAATTTTCTCTGACATTGCAATCTTTTTCCTATTCACTTTAAGCGACCGATATCAGATTTCGTTTTTGTGATTTTATCATTCTGTTTTTAATAAATAAAAATAAAAATAATTCTAAAGACCCATGTGCAATAAGTTACCATTGGCACCTAACACGTACTTTTATGTGGCAGCTTGCTCCTTCATTTAACTATGGTGGTGGGTGTCTGGTGTTATGGTGGGTTAGGTGGATAAATTTACACTCTAGTTAGTAAATCTTAGGAATGTACAAATTAAGTGACAGTCGACCTGTAGATAGTAGCATACTATGATGCGATAAAGAAATTCACCTATCAATGCATGTCTTTATACCATATCAAGTATAAAGACATACATTGACATTTATATCTATTTCACACACATAATAAAGCTAAACACCTCTAGATTCTCAGTGTTTAAAAGTGATTATAGAGCATGCAAGTATATCTTTTAAACATTTTTAGATAGTTACTTGAATTACCAATAACCCTGTGAAATATTTTTGAAACATCTTTTTTTTAAATTACAGTTCAAAAAAAAATAAAATAAACTGTTTTTTATTTTACATTTCTTTAATTTTAATAACATATTTAACATTTAAATAATTACAATAATCAAGCCTATATTTATATACGCTTCAAATGAATATTAAGTATTTTTTTCTAAAACCACTATGAAGTAGGTGAGTAATAAGTAAGGTATATAGGTGATAATTAATACCTACCTAATTTATAATTATCATTTTCAGTCTGTATGATTATTGATTTATTATAAAATAGGAGGCATTTTACTCGATCATAATTTATATTATTATTATTATTATGTGCTGTTTTAAGTGGCACATTTAACAATAAAATAAAACAATAAAACAATAAATTAGAATACAATTGTATTCTAAAATAGACTTAATAGTGCGGGCTGTTGATTATAACCCCTTACCCTCTAGATATGCTGCTGCTGAATAGTACCTACCTAATAGATGACATTGGAGTGATTAATTGCGAGCGACTTTATGATGGTTAAATTTACAATGTAATCATTCAATCATGTAACCTGTCATTATTTTGCTCTAAACTTTTTGAGTAGTGGTAATAATAAAATTTTATACTTTGCCCCACTAAATAAAATATAGGTCGGCACTACTATAAGTTACTACAGACAACCAGTAGTTCTCAAACTAATGTAATCTCACATGCGAACAATAAAGTTAATATTTGCAAAGCTATGATGTAAGATATTCAAAAAATAAAAAACATCCAAGAAGAATAATTTACAAAACAAAAAAAAGCCAATGTAATCAGTTAGATAGTTTCTGAGATTAACTATTGCAAAGAAAAAAATTGCAGGTTTATATATATATATATATATATATACATGGATATTTAAAATAATTTTAGTAAAATAAAAATAATTTTTCAATTTCAAACCATCTTACTCTTAATTTTTTTGATTCATCAATAGATGCTAAATCATTCTCTGAAATAAAATCTTCCAAACTTTTCTGCTGTGGAACTGAAGTTGTAATAACAGAATTTGGATTCTTGGCCAACTTTTTCTCAATACGTAGTAATTTTTTTTTTTTGCACTTTGGCAAATTTGGATTAGCTCCTTCACCTAAAATATTAATAAATATGAGTATTTTTTTAATTATTACATGAACTAAACTATACTCAAATAAATAAAAAATAATTATACCAGGTTTAACTTTTTTATTTTCTTTGGTAGTTTCAGGTTCACAACTTAAATTAACAGATAGAACTGTATTTTTAACTTCTTTAAAAATAAAAATATATTTATTATTAATAATTAATTACATATTATACCAAAATAATATTTTATAATTACTCATTAATTCACATAATGAATTTTATCTTTAGATTACCTTTATCGGTAACTAATGTACTACTATTTTGTAAACCAGTAACAGATGAACATGGTTCTTCAACATATAATTGATCAGTGTCAGTACTAGTAACTTGCATCTTATCGTCATGATTATGAATATCTATAAAAAAATAAAAACTTCTTAATTATATTAAACATATATTCATTTGATATATCTATTTGGTTTAAAACTTAGCTCTTATATAATTTAGATATAATTAAAATATTTTATAAATTGTTTAAATCATAATAAAACCTATTTGAAGTAAATATCAGTCCTCCAAATGCTGACCACTGGTATGGACCAAGGGTGTGCAACAGGTCTTTCAAAATATGAGTTCCAGTTAATTATGACTCCCTTTCATTAATTTTTTAATTTTTCAGGAAAAAATTATTTTTATTAATAATAAACTAGTAAACCCATTTGCAAAAATTCGCAATAGATAATTTATTTATATAATAAAAACTATAGGTCCAATCAAATCTTTACATAAACACATTTTAACAAATCAATAAATGAGTATAATATCGAAATGTGAATAACATATCGAAATGACAGAGAGTGTTTATTAAAACTAATTGGTTAGAGCCAATGAGAATGAAGTATTTGGAAAAAACTGAAAGTAAAGTTGATTGTACATACATAACTTTCCTTAGATTCAACAAATTTAAGCAGTTAATAGCTCAAAAATAAAAAAAGAGCATGATCCACTGAATGTTCTTAGACTTGTATCAACAGCCTAAGTTAATTAGAACTCTAGTTATTGAGGTTTGAGTGAAGGAAAATATTGAAAAATGTTTGAAAAAATTAATTGTAAAGTTAATTGTGCACGCATAACATTCCTCAAAGTACTTAAGTAATGTGGGAGTTGAGTAAATTTCAATGATTGATGACATATTTGTGTCTAAATACTTGAAAATGAAAATAAAAAAAAAATATGAAGGAAATCGGCCGGATAGAACAGCCAACGGACTGACATTAGTTTTCATACATTTTTATATATATTAATTTATTATTTATTATTTATTAATTATTTTATATATATATATATATATATATATATTTAATATATAAGATTATATTAATAATAATTAATTAAGACAATATTTAGTAATAAATAACTATGAAAAAAAAAAATTGTACACTGAAATTTAGTAGCTATGTAGGTATATAAATGTTATCTAATGGATATTCCATGTTAAATAAGGGTATTTTCATGTTAGTGTAAATTGATGAAAAATATACTAAAATATATGTTATTTAAAATTGTAAAATTAAAGTTATTATTACTTATTAATATTTTAAAAAGAAATAAAGGAAATGTAACATGCAACATATATGTATAAAAATATTTTTATTTAGTCAACCATTTTTTTTTTTTTTTTTTTGGTCGATTGTGACTACCTAGAAAAACTCAGAAGATGATCACAAGTCTATAAAAGTTATCCACCTTTGATATTGACTAATTAAGACAAATATATATATAATAATAATGTAGTTTTAAAAAAGAGCTTTAATCATCTTATCAAGTAAACAATTTACCCAGTCTAGAGTAAATGTATCAAGTGTATTGAATAATCCATTCAAAAAAATGAACATTTATTTAATAAGCAATTATAATATTTATTTTCTATAGATGATAAATGTTCAAAGATATGTGCTAAATCAACTAAATCATACTTAAGCATTATAAATAATAAAAAGTTACTGAAGTAGTAATAACTTATTAAGTACTAAATAACAGATATTTTAATCAACTTTTTAATATTTAAAAACTTAAAAAATACAAATTACCATGAGTTTCAAAATTCATGAGAGGCTCTCTTTCTGCTTGTTCATTATCAAATGTGTTTGTCTCATATTCTCCACATTTTAAAAATTTAGTTACTTTTTTAATAATCTTTTTCTGAGATTTTGATAGTTCAAAATTCAAAGCTTCACATCTATTTAAAAAAAAAAGTTGTGTAAAAATATAAACAACTTAATAATGAATTACAATAAACTAAAATTACTTAATTTATATTTTTCGAGTCAAAAGAGTTTGCATGAAATATATTATGTTATATTTAATGTTTTGACATATATAATAAGCAATATTGCATTCTCGATACTTAAAAAATATACATTAACATGCATTACCTTTTTTAAAAAAAAAAGACTACCTTATAGTATACAAAGGGCAACAAGTCTTATCCATTGATGCTTTATAACAGTACTTGCCACTACGTCGCCACCCACGATCTATCATATCTTGATATGCTTGTACCGAAAGACGAGAAGCCCACATACCTAGTAGTGCATAATACACATGCTATAAATCAAAGTATTTAAAGATTGATTATAAATATGTAATCTTACCGTGACTACAACTAGTTTTGCCTTTCTTGCAGTAACCACAGTATGATTTTTCACGAAAACCATTGTAGAAGATTATGCTTTTATTATTACTACCAGACATACTTCACAATACTCTTTCCAATTAAATTATACTAAAAAGAAATATAAAAAAAAACCAAAACTAAAAGTTTGATAAAAAACAAGTAACCCAGGGCTAGAAAGTTAATTACAATAGAATGAACTATTAACGAAAGTTAATTTACGGAAAATGGGAAAACGTAAAGCTTATCGCTGTTATCATTCACAAAGATTGAAGCACAGAATAGATTAAATAAAATTTTAATTAAATTAAATTTAAACTTAATCTATTCCATATTTAATTAATCTAGACCACACGATAATAAAATAGTTATCTATAGAAGGTACACAATTAGTGCAATTCTGTGACTGCAGTGTTGCATCAGTCAAAATAGAATTGTAAGAGTGGGTGTGTCAAATGATAATGAACTTAACTTTAGCAGTTAATAATAATTATCCTAACAAGGGTGTATTTTAGGGGGGCAAAGGGAGTGATCGCCGCCTCTGAATCCGTATTTAAGGAATCGATCATATGTGAGATACACATTTCAAATTTATTCAATGTGGTTTATTTTATAACGATACTTAGTGAAAAATCAAATAAAACAAGCGTAACTTTCAAAACACAGATAGGTTTTAAAAAAGAACTGCACAAAGGTCGATTTTAAGTGGATCCGGCATTAGATTAAAAAAAAAACCTACAAATATTAAGGATTAACCTCATTTAAATATTATCAAACATTTTACTTGTAAATTTTGAACCAGAATTAAAGAAAAAATTTGAGTCGCCCCCTCCTAGAATTAAGTCTAAATATGCCCCTGTACTCTAGTCGGTTGAACTTAAAGTTTTAGGACCAGGATAACGGAGTACCTCAACTAATTTTCATAAAGTTAGCATCCCCCTACTATAATTATGTTATAATTATGTTAACTTCTCCAGGGCGAGAACGTTAAAAATCAAGCCACCGGACCGAGAATCGAAACCGAATATCTTGCTTGTCGGGTGATTAATCTATCATTAAGCTACCCGACCGTATAAACCTAAGACGTTACCCTCCTCCCCAGGCCGTATCCATAAATGATTTTTTTGGGGAAGGGTCCAAATATGTTTATTGTAATTTTACCGAATTTAGGTTTTAAAATTTGATTAAAAATAAGACCAAAAAAGTTTTAATTTTCTTTTAATAAAATATATAATTAAATAAACAAAATTACTTTGACATCTTGCTACCTAGGTATACAAAACCATAGAGTAAGATAGAGGCGGCGTTAGCTATCAAAACCATGTCTCACAATTGAATCCAATCCGTCGGTCATTGACCCTAATTGAAGAGTCCAAGTAAGATAATTTTCTCCGTTAGTCGCGCTGTTTTCAGCGAAAAGTATGTTTATACATATAACTTTTCATTCATTGAAGGCAGCGAAACTAGCGGAGAAAATTATCGTACTTGGACTCTTCATGGGGGCAATGACCGACAGATTAGCTTCAGTTTTGATAGCTAACGCCACCTCTATCTTACTCTATGATACAAAACATAAAAACAAAATTAAGTGATAACAAACACAAATTCAATATATTTTGAACTAATAAAATGCTTAGATTTTTTTGAAAAGCAAACTGGTTTATCACTTCTTCGGGATTAACCGTAATATCTCTATGCAAGGCTGGGCAAGTTAACGATTTTTTTTTAACTCGTTAAGTTAAAAGTTAACTTTGGAAAAAAAAAGTAACTTAACTTAATTTAAAGTTAAAATTTTCAAATTTGCAAAAATAAAATAATTGCACACATAATACTAGTTTTCTTACTGAAGAAATTTAAAATAATGCATATAAGTATTAAATAACTAATTAATAACTATTAATAATTAATTAATTAATAAAGAAATAATAAACTTTCACAGAAATATAATAAGCTAATAAAGTAATAAACTAATAACAATATACAGGGGCGGATCCAGAGTCGGGGAACTGTGGGTCAAGCCATTTCAAGAGGCCATTTATTAGGGATGAAACTGAATTAGAAATGAATACCTTGTAAAAAAAAAAACACAATATGCTCATAAAAATGTATAAGTATATTTATATTACTTTTTTTTTTTTTTTTTTTTTATAATAAAATATCGTTTATTGAATATTTACAATCTATACTAGAATATGTACAATAAGTAAATTTGTTGGAGGAATGACGGTGATGGGACGGTGAAAAAAGAAGCTCACAGTAGAGCTACCTTTACATGAATATTAAATTAATTTTAGGTGTTGAGAAGATCTCTGGACCATTTCCGATTAAGGCGTCGGATAGGGTTACCTGGAAGTGTATTAGAGTGAAGTTGAGATATAAGTTGGTTTGGGTAGCTTTGCATTTTGAATTGGAGTCTTGAGTATAAATTGGCTGCAGTCTGGTTGATGGATGGGACATTGAGGTCTTCGTGTAGAGCGGCGTTTGTGACGTACCATGGGGCTTTAGTGACTATGCGGAGGCAGATGGATTGGAACGCTTGAATTGTCCTGAGGTTTGAGGGTTTGGCAGTGCCCCAGAGAGCTATACCGTAAGACCATATTGGTTGTAGGAGACTTTTGTATAAAAGTAGACGGTTGGATAAGTTCATATTAGATTTGAGGAGAGGTCTGATTAGGTGTAGGCGAGAGTTAAGTTTTTTGCTTTTGAGATGGGGACCCCAGGTGAGTCTCCTGTCGAGTAGGAGGCCAAGGTATTTAGCTTCCCTTGAGTGGGGGATTACTGAGTTATTGAAAGAAACTTCAGGACAGTCCTTTGGTCTGAGGGTAAAAGTGACGTGTGTGGATTTGAGTTCATTTACTTTAATTTTCCATGTGTTGCACCATTTTGAAAACTTGTTTAGATGGTTTTGGAGAAGGTGACTGCAAATAAGTGGATCATGGTCTGAAGTATCGTCAGCATGCGTACCAATGAGAGTGTTTTCGGAGGAAGGAATGTCCGATGTAAATAGGATGTACAAGAATGGGGCAATATCACTTCCTTGCGGGACGCCGGCAAGTATATCGTGAGAGCCGGAGAGAGTAGAATCGATTTTGACATTGTAGGACCTGTTTTCTATACAGGATTTAAGAATGAGATAGTATGGCGCAGAAAAGACTTTTTTGATTTTGTACAGCAGACCGGTGTGCCAGACCGAGTCGAATGCTTTGGCAACGTCGAGGAATACTGCAGAACAATATTTCTTCGTTTCGAGGGAGGTCGCAATTAGATCAAAAACTCGATGTAGTTGGTGAAAAGTAGCGTGTTCTGGGCGAAAACCAAATTGGAATTCAGGTAACACATTTTTTTTCGTGAGAAATTGAGAATAGACTTTTAAGGAGTAGTTTTTCCAGGATTTTTCCAAGCACTGGTAAAAGACTGATAGGCTTGTATGAGTCTGCTTTGTGTGGAGGCTTATTGGGTTTAAGGATTGGAATAATGATTGCTGACTTCCATGTTTGAGGGAAGTATGATAGTCGTAGAGTAGCATTGTAAATATGGGTGAATAGAATGATTGTTTTGGCCAGGGTATTTTTGACAATTTTGTTGCTGATTTGATCGTGGCCTGGTGATTTGTTAGTCTTAAGTGTTTTAATAATTGATGAGATCTCATTAGGAGTCGTGTATTTGGCAGTTAAGGCCATAGGTAGTGGTGAAGAGATAAATTCGTTCACTTTGTCTAGATGAGAAGTATCCGGGAGGATCGAGTGCAGTGTATTACATTTTAGAATTAGTGATACCACCGATAATGACTTATTTACAATTAATAAATATATTCTAATTTTATCAGCGCAACAAACGTACGGAATAAAATACGATTTACTTAACCTTCTACTAAAACAATATAATTTAAAATATCAATTATGAATATACATGATATTCATTTTTCAAGTAACTCCGATGGGCCAACTGTTCAAAAGTCCAAATCAAGGTCTAAAAAGAGATAAAAATTTCCAAGAGGCCAATTTTATCAACAAATATTAACTGTGGGTCAGCTAACCCCCTGAACCCCCCTAGATCCGCCCCTGACAATTATTATAAATTCTAACGAGATGTGAACAGAACATATGCTAGTTGTATTATAAAATTAAATTGGAAATTATACCACAGTTGTTTTGTTATTAATCCCCCATCGACACTCGCTCTCATGGATTACGCTCTTAGGATTTCCATGGGTTTATAGTGTTTGTACAATAACAATAATATAAATATATTATGATAAAATATAGCCCATATAATGACTATTAAAGTTATTTTTCATATTATTTTCGTCTACAGGAAATTCATATTAAAATAGTAAATTATAAATATACTAAAAACCTCATTTAATAATTTGCATTATTCTTTGCACTAAAATTAACTTAATTTAGATACTTATTAATTATTAAACTATATATTATACTTAGTAGAGATAAATAAAATTAACTTAAAGTTAACACGTTAATCTTAAAAAAAAGTAACTTATTGAGTTAATTTTAACTTTTAACTCGTTAATGCCCAGCCATGACTCTATGTACACTTAATAGAGCTAGTCCAGTTAGTCTTTCTTGCCCTGTAGATTTAGGTTAGGTTAGATACGTTTTAATGTCGAAAAAGTTCGTTCAGGAGTTACTGTAGAAACCAGCAATGTGACCAGTACTTTTAATAAAAAATTAATATTCAGAAAAATTTCTGGGTTACAATAATTTAATGATTCTATAGTTATATTTGGACGATCTGTATCTTTAAATGCAATCCATTTTCTTTTCCTCAATTTTATTTCTGAAAGTAATGAATCTGTATTTATAAAATTTGGATAAAAACTAAAATCTGGTTCTAAAATTAAAGATTTTACACACATTTTTGATATTAATAAATACAAAGACGATAAAATCTTCTTGTGTTTGGAAAGTCGTTCTTTGAATCGTTAACAAATAAAATCATTATAGAAAGGAATTGCAATAAAAATACGAAAATATTAATATATTATATAGATATATAATACATAAAACAATATGACATACCTTTGAAAGTTTAAACAAAAAAATTGAATAGTACATTTTTGTTCTCACGTTTACTCATTATAATGAATTTAAATTTTGATATTTTTCGACGTATTTGTCACAATATGACGGATGACAGTATATTAATTATTATTACCTAAAATAATATTTTTAATGTACACAAAATTAATATTATTGTTTACAGTGGCGTATCCAGAATTTTTTTTTGTGTGGGGGGGGGGGTATAAAAAATGGAACATTCAATTTTTTTTTTAATTTTCGGGGGGGGGGGGGGGGGGGTTATAACCCCCTATCCTCCCCCTGTTTACGCCACTGGTTGTTTATTGCCATTGACCGTCACCAATAGCGATCGTTTCTTTCGTCTATCGATAATAATCTATTATTAAACGCAGTAATAATATTTTCATATTAGTCAGCAGTTTATTTAATTGGAGTTTAAGCCATTTATAACTGAAAATATTTATGTTGGTATTAAAAATAAATAGTTATTTTAAACATTTGTAAAATACTGAAAAAAATTCGAGGGAGT